GTACGTGATAGGATATAATTGAAGAATCAAACATTCACTGGCACGATATCTGAAATCTCGTGCAAGATAAGTAGGTATAGCCTATGTTTAAAGGCGGGCACTCACTGCAACTCCGCTGCCTGTGAGCGTTTGACGACGCCACACGTCTGCTGATTGTCGGTGGCAGTCTGAATGGATTACCATAAAAACGATTGGTTGCGCTGGTGTCGTGGTGTTGCATTCTCCATAGAATCGCATCAGCCGACCACTGCCGGGCGAGGAGACCGCTCGGCTGAAAACAACGTGGGTAAAGCTACATTTTAATGGCGAAAGTACGTACCAATACTTGATAGGCAACGTGTAAGGCTTACGTGATATCACGTGCAATACGTACACAAACAATCATTAGATAGTATATTTTATTCCCATGAGACCGTCAATTTACAACAGATAAAAACGGTGGAATGCCCCGACACGGAAAAACCACTATTATTATAACTTTGTGATGAACCGGGTTATTGGTGAGACTACATACGCTATATGCATAACATAGATAGATACCTTCATTCGGAACGGAACAGTCCACCTACTTTCAACTAATGAAATTTGTATTAGGTGGAGGCATGCAAATTAAATGTATAAAAACTATTATTGAAACCAAGCTTGTGCGTAGGTTATACTTTAGATGCACCAGTTATTAATAAGACATATCATAGATCAGTAATAGTGAGATATGATCATACGTCTTTTCATTTCACAATATGCCGCGTTATTTGCGTTTCATCTTACACGTCGCGTAAGCTTCATTTCGTAAATAAGCTCATCTCTATTCATTACACACAGAAATAGATTATCTTTTGATTAGTAAATTTAATATGTGACATTGGGTATTTGCACAATTTAATGCGGATTACAGTAGTCCACTTTTTTTTATTTGTATCATTTTTCGTGTACTTTAGTTCCATTTGGAAGAGAGGTTGGCCTATTAATTTTAAGGGACGATATAGGCCTACGTAATAAGGGGAAACAGAAAAATCGCGGCGGCATCAATAAATATGAGTTAACAACAGACGTGTCTCATCAGAATGAGGCGCATGATTTGTTCACTCCTAATAAACTACCGATAGACACAAAACAGTATTCGAAGATTTTACACCTGTTGCATACTTCGACGGTCGATGGTCCGACGAATTCTTCCGAGCTTCGTATAAACGCTTGCCTGACACAGTCAGTTCGCACACCGTCGGTGCTGGTGTTTTCGTCGCACGACGCGTCCCGTCCCGCCTGGTCCCTTTTATGTTCACTTTGGATAGGTTTATCTTCATAAGACTTCTACGAATGGATACCTTGTTCGAAGCCTCTGGTTTAATTTTTACAGTAAATCTAGTACGCAATTCTGTATAAGCCTGGCAAGACGTCGTACGGCCGTCGGTTTAACGAATGCATCTCCGCTCTCATTGAGCGTGTGGCGACACGACGCTGACTGCTGATTGTCGATGATGAACTGAACAGAAAAAAAACCCCGATCCGTTGCGTGCGCCTTATCGCCTTACGTTTTTGTTTGTTTTAAATCCAGGCTCAGTGCGTGTCTGGATTTAAATCTCATCGAATATAGAATCACGTATCGGGCTTTACTGGTATGCGTCGGGCTTTACAATATCGTGATTACACCAACCGATGTTTGATTAAAATTTACTGTATTTAACCGAAGTGAACCAAAACTCCATGATGGTTTTAATGGCGCCCTTTACAAATAATAATATCAATTAGAAAAAATTACAAATTTAAAGGTATTATATAAAATTATATAGGATTGACATTTATACGTTTGTTAATTTGGTGGAAATTGTCTAATTTATAATTAAAAGCTAATAACCTTCTTAAATTCATAGTGTAAACAATTCAATTTTATTGATACCGTTTTTAGCTCAACATGGAACGTAGGCCTACTGTTTATATTAAGAAATCGAGACAACTTATATGATTTGTGTGTTATCATGTGTAATTTAAATTTTACTAATATTTTGTATTTACATGCTTTAAATGTAGTTGTTATACTATGTAGAAGAAATCTTACGAATTTTATGATAGTATGTATGTATATTTATCTGTAGATCGACACCGTCGGCTGTCGACCTACATACAAAACATGCTGGATACTGATCAATCAGGCGACGAGGCGAAATATCCTACATATGAGACTATGCCTTCCACAATAATAATGTAAAAAACATCTCACGATAAATCTATCTCAATCGGAAACTTTAAGCACCTCAGAAACGTCATTCGGGCAAGTGGGAGCGTCACAGCTTCGCATTATGCACGGACTCATCTGGCCGGTACACATTACCTAATACAGTAGAAACGCTTAGACATAGTTTTTTTTTTCTTTGATCAAGAACATGAAATTTGCAAAGTGATATAGGCCTATATTGCAATATTATTTAGGATACTAATATACGGTAACCAAAAAATAAATTGATAGATATTATTAATACTGTACCATAAAATATAGCCTACTAGGCCTACTAATATTATTAGTACGGTAGTTGTTGTTGTTGAAGTCTAATATAGAGTGAAATATAAATGACTATCATATAAATATATATATATATATATATTTGTATATATATATGTATGTATATTTATATAGTATCATAAATTTTATATTATTTATATGTTTTTACATAGGCCTATAGAGTCATTCCATATGAATCCAACACACTTTTTTGCCCGACCCCCTTCAAATCGCCCAATATTTTGCATGTTGAGGGTTTTACCTGAGATAACCCCACAGTGAAGTTTTTGGCTCCGCGCCAGCATTTTCTGATGAGTTAGAGCAATTTGGAATTTTCCTGAGATTTGGCTAAAAAACTCACCTTCTGACAGACAACTGCTGATATCTCTCTTGAAACTCAACGTATTGGAGAAATTCTGGTACTGTTGGATAGAGAAGATTCTCTTTCCAATGATATGTAACTCGATGATGTCCGGACTAGTGAGAATTATATAGGTCAAGTCACGTGACCTTGACCTTTGACCCAAAATATCACAAAAGTATATATCTCGATTTTTGGAAAATTCACACCTCAGTTAGGACACTT